CGAGCTACCAGATGGACTACCTTAAAAATTTTAGAATTCATTTTTCGCCGCTCGGTAAGTCTGTTAAGTCGAAAATTTGACAATATTATTTTAAGTAATTAGTTTTTTTCTCAGCCAGATAATGCCAGAATCTGGGACATTGAATGTCCTAATATTCAACAGCTGGAATGGTTACAACGTCTTACATTTAAAGAGCTGTGTAAGATACAAGTGAAGCGGTCAGTCGTGCACGGATGCCATGAATATATGACTTTGAGAGCTAACTATCTCTTTGCACGCATAAACTCCCTTGCATGAACAGTTATTATTGATATGATGTAGCCTAATTTGTTTGATCAAAATAACTTGTCTGTATAAGCATGCTGCTGTTTTAAAGAATAAAAAGAAACGAAAGAGAACGAGAAAAAAGTAAAACGTTATGTGCAGATATAGCCTTAATTGCGAGATGGGCAGACTCATGTTGCTTCTATTTGTTTATAACATTTGGGTATTTGTGTTAATTCTTTTTTTTTATACTGTTCATCAACATAGATGACATCAACAGAAGAGACTGACCACCCGTCATCACTATCATAATTTTCATCATCTTCGTCAGGAACTGTTCGTTGTTTCAAGTTTTCTTGCGTTAAAATGTAGCCGAGTGCTTGTGGACGATAAACTTGGGGCATAATCAGAGGCTAAAAAGAGAAACAAATTTGCTGTCAACACACAAGATAAATTAAATAATGGCCTCTTTCAGAGATCAATGATGTTTTCCTGTATTAACAGAAATATTCACGGAGAATTTTTTTTCAAATATTGTCTGTTTGGAAAAAGCAAGGCTATGACCATTTTTTCGAAAAGAGTTTCATAAAAAGTTTTTTGACGTCGATTTTCCACGGAATCGCTGGAAAACTAGATCATAGTTCAACATTTTCCGATAGAAATATTTTGATTGTTCTCCATTGGTGGATAACCCCAAATATTGTCTTCAAAATGGAAATCAAGCAAGCTAGGTGTTAGTTTTGTATTGTTTAGGCACGATGTTAAATTCCATTGTGAATCCAGGGTCGGTATCTGGTCATTTCTGGCAACATCAGAGTCGACGATACTGCGTCCCACAGAGCTGTTTGTTTTTAGAAAACTTTTAAAAAACCAACTGAAAGCCAAGCGTTATGTACGTAAAATAGCCATTTTGGACTAGTTTTACCAAAAATTAAAAGATTTATTTCTCACTGAAAACTCACTTTGAAAATTTTAGGGGATACCCATCGTGTTCTCCTTAATAACAGCACTCAAAAGAAAGAACGTATACAGATATATTCTATCAATGTTGCGTAGAGCGATGCTTTAGAGGACAAAACATTATTGAAACTAGTTTTGGATTTTCAGCTGTTTTTTTCAGAAAACTTTAGAAACAAGTAGTTAATACTTCTGTTGTTTAATTATTAACTTCTGAAGTGATCTGGAGCAGTTTTTAGTGAGAAATGAATTCCTAATTCTTGGTATAAGATCAAAGGTTAACTCTCTAGATCAAAGGTTAATCAAAAAATGACTTGTACCTGTATCTTAGACTGCGATTGTTGTTGTATAAAAGCTTCTTCAATAATTTTCTTCTCATCTTTAATATAAATCTTTTTTTGCTCTTGTGATATTTTTTCCTTTTGTGATGTTTTGGTATTTGGAATAGTTTCATTTTGTTTTGTTGATGGTTCCCTGTCATAGCTTGATCGTTGAATGTTTGTGACATTATTGGTCTCCCAATCTGTAAGTTGATTTTTTCGACTTGTTGACCAATACTCTCGATTGATGGATAGATATGGTTGGTGGTCATGTTCTTCATTGTCGTATTTTAAGTCTGAATGGTAAGCATTGTTGATGGACTTCAATTCTTCGTGCTGTGTGTGATCGTTGGTGTAATTTGTTGTGGGATATGCTTGAATATCTGAATGTTTACTGAAGAACGATTCGGTATGTCTGTGACTCTGAGAAGATATTTGGCTGGGAGTGGATCGTTTTTGCTCGAGCACTGGTTGAGTGCGTCCACTAGAATAAGAAAAAGCCCCAAAATAATCATAGAAGCCACTAAATTGTATGTTACTGTCGATATACACTATTTGGAAAGAAAAGTGCTTCACATGAGATCACAAAATATAAGAAAACCTTTTAATTTAAAGCCCTGTGCCACTGGTTACTCTTGCTAAAAAAGTTAATATCTCTCAAAGAACACTCTTCTGGATCTGCTCTACCTTTGCTTTCTTTGATATCCATCGTGATTAATTCTGTACGTGTCTTGTGGTTCTATTTGGTGTTCATCGTCATCATCAGTATCACCAGGAGAAGATTCGTTAATTCTGGTTTCTGAGAACTCTGCTGTTCTCGTTGATGATGATTTTTGATTGTTGCGTACCTTGTCGCTTTCTCTGTTATTGGGTTGCTGTTGCGCAACAGTGTGGTGTGGATGGGCGTGATATTCTGTCCAGTATAGTCGTATTTTCTCCGTTGTGTTCGGCGACAATACAGGATCGAATCCCTGAATATTGATGGACAATGTTCGAACAATGTTCGATGACAACGGTGGTCTCGGTGAATCTGGAAAACAGTTTTATTTAGGTGAAAAATAATATTATCGAAGCGTTTGTACCCACCTTCAGATGTTTGATTTACGTCATATCCGTCCGTATGTTGGTATCTGGTGACTATCTCGTTCTTGTTGATATTATGCTTGTTGTTCAGTTTACCAGATGGTTGCGCCTTCTCTTCTTTGGTGAACTGACGTTGGATTTGTTCGCCGTTTCCTTGTTTATTGTGTTTATTACGTTTAGATTCGATGTCTGTAGTTCCATGGTATATTTGCTTGGACTTTTTATCGATTTCAGTGAGATGGGTGACAGGATTGGATCGTTCAAAATTCATTCCATTTCTGAAAGTGAAGTTAGCTTGTATAGTTTGATGTCTTATGAGATCTTAGACTGTACCTTGGATTATTGTTATTTTTTGAGATTTTAAACTTAGTCTCCATATCTTCTTGGTGCTGTCTCGGTGTGGAATGTCCATTGGGTTGTATCCATCCGACGTATCCGTCTTGTTCTCGCATATGCTTTTCGTTTTCTTCTTGTTTTTCTTGCTCTTCTTGCTTTTCCTTTTGGCGTGTCGGTGGTTTATTTCCGACGTTGTTAAATCGATTATACTCATTGCCATTTGTGATCGGTTGTTTCATCTGGAAAAGATGAATAAACAAATGTTGAAAATAGAATACGACGATAGAAGAATTTCACTTTTGAATTATGAACAGTTTTTGATCAAGCTCTTTGTAAAAAACTTTTTTAGAAAATCTAGGTGCTCAAAAAAGAATGAAGCAATATGTATTTCTATTAGCGCATAATGGCTCAGAAGAAATCTATATTTAAAAAGTGAGTTACGAATCTCAATGCCTACGATTTGTACGCATGATAGTTGAGAAAACATTTCGTTTGAATGTGAGAACTTTTTCAGCGTATTTAAGTCATTTCAAACAATGACGAGTTGTGACTGTCTGATGAGAACAGTCTCAAATAAAATTATTCTATGAACAAAGAAGAAAATGAGAAATGAACGAAAAATAATAAAAGGATAGCAGAAGAATTTCATGATCTTAAAATCAACTCCTATACATTTCAATAAAACAACCAAAAATTCTCCTTTTATAGTGCAAACATCCAAACATGGAGAAGAGGAGTCGTTTTACCATGCAGGCCATTAGACCGATTTACCTGAGCTATACATAGAAGCGAAGGAAAATAAGAAAACTGTTTTGCCCCTTTACCGTTTGTCCTTCATGTCGAAACCTGTACTGTTCCTTTTCGGTAATGATTTTCTTGTTGTTTTTGTTTTGTTTTTCTTTCTCTTCGCCTACTTGCTTGGCTTCAACGAAGATTTTCTCGTTTCTTCTGTTTGTGAATTTTTCTTTATTGATACGCCCGTTTTTCGTGGTTTCTGACCACGGAGATATGGGTTGCACAGCGACAGCTTTTGATGCTATTGAACTAGTAGTTCCTAATTGTAGTTGAACATGATTATTGATCATAGTGGTCGTTAATACATTCGTACCTGCAATAATAAAAGTGAAAATATAAGTATTATGCGAAGAGTATCCTAAATTGTAGTATATAATATTGCTTTACAACTGTTTCGAAAAGATCGCTTAATTGCTTAATTAAAGCTGGAACTTGGCGCTATCAGAAGCTTAAATCATTTTATCTAAAACTCCTTTTTGAGGAAAAAAATTGACAAAAGGTTGTCATTACGGAGTATCACTTTTTACTCATTCTTGGTTCGAAAGCCTTTCATCCTCGTTGATTACTATTCAAAATGATAAAACCCTCAACTGTCTTTTATATAACGGATTTAAATAAAAGTGAAAATATTTTATTAGCATTTACAGATGGAGTCAAAATTTAAATCTTGACAATTTTGCAGAGAATAGTGAAAACTTGCTTTCCGGACATTTAACATTCAAAACTTAAAACAGCGCGTTTTATAGAGAATTAAATTCTGCATCAACTGAGATGGTAGTAAGAATTTTAAAAAACGAAAGAGGCCAGGAAATCAAGAAAACTTAAATTTACGTTTCTCAAATGAAAATAAAATGGTGATGAGTTAGTTTTGAAGTTGATACCTCCCAAGCGCGAATTAAGAATCACTATAAACCGCCCGATTTTCGCTTAAACACACGACTGAAACCGTGGTTTTAGGCGGTTCTCAATCTCTTAACCGTCGATCTTCAGCAGTTAGATTTTTTTCTTATCACCGGTTCAAATATTCTGATTTTTTAGTTACATAAAACACGAAACAGTTATCAGCGGTTCTCATTTTCCGAACTGCCGCTGGAGTAATTCTATTCGCCATAAACCGCGATTATGTACAAATGGCTTTTTTTGTTGTGTACAACAATGCAATCACCGATTTGCTTTGCAGAGACAACAATTATAAATACGATACTGAAGAACGAGAAACAAATTTCAGATTCTCAGATTATTCTCGCTGAACAGTGTGAGCCAATAGAAGCTCATTATTGTTCAAAGCCGAGTATTGAAAACGAACCGTGGCTACAGCAGTTTATCACAAGGAAGCCGCGGTTGCAGCCGATTATTTAGAGACTCAAAGGTTATTTTGTAAATAGAAAGCCGTTTATAAGCGCTGCCGTATTGACAAAAAAATACACCGTTTATTCGGGTTTAAACCACATTTTTTCACAAAAATCACTCAAAAAATCAAACTGTTTGTTCGCTGGCTTTCGTGAGAACCTGCAGTTATTTTGTCCGATATCGGCGGTTTTAAGCGTTTTTTCCGCTGGCAACTAAACCGCTAAAAATTGTTTCCTTTTTTGCGGTTTTTCACGGTTGAAAGCTGAAAGACTTTAGCAACACTGAGATTACTCATGCTTATAGCGATAACACCAAACTCCTGACATTCCTTCATAATCAACATGCCTGGGCGAATCTTTGAGGTAGATTCAGTGTATTTTTGGAAATTAAAATATTCTAGAGTATCTTTTTACCCATAACTGGAAAATTGAGCATCATGTGAAATATCAAAAGACACGAATACAACGAATGTCACATTAGTATTAGTCTTAGGAGATAAGTTTTCTTCTACCAACGTACTATGACTTTCATGCCAGATCTACTTCTTTTACTTACTCAGGGAAATTAAAGTAAATGAATCTACTGACATACCTTGTTGATTTTGAGTCAATTTTTTTCCTGGTATTGTATCGAACGGTTGAAGCTGTTGAAATGTATTATTCTTATTGAACTTCGAAAGTTGATCTTTCTGAATAGATCGATGTTGTTGTGGTTGTTTTTCAATGGTACCAACTCGATCTATTACCGACCTGTTAACATGTGCTCGTATTTGGTCAATTGTTTTCACTTGAAAATCTAATGGTGTTTGAGATTTTTGTGTGAGTAATTTGACTTCTTGTTGTTTCAGTGGAGGTGATGGTGATGTTTCAAGATGAAGTTTCATTTTATTTGTTATTGTTCGAGGTGTTGTTGTATTACTATCGGTTGCTGAACAGTCTTGAGGGTGATAGAGACCTAGTCGAGATACAGCCATATCGCGATTATATGGTTCACCAATGGCAGCCGCAATTTTCTTCTTCTTAAAAGGTTTTAGTATGATCGGTGGTTTTTTGGCATGAGGATGGAAGCGATGATCAATGTTTGTGATATACTGACCGGTTGTAGCCATATTTGTTTCATTTTTAACGGGTAAATCTTAAATAAATGAAATGTATGAGAAACAATGTTTTTGATATTGAAATTTTGAGCGAAAGATTGCTAGTGCTCTGAATGTTCTCTTATATTTTCTTTTTATAAAATCATTACATTAAAATGATGACACATCTTTTTCAACGTCATCACATCTGTTAAGTAGAGATCGAACAAGTACAGATAAGGGTTTTTGTTGTGAAATCTATACATGATTATAATCAGCTTCATATTTTGAATAAAACTGTAGATTTAGATTTTCGAAAAATATTCGTCCTTCATATTCCTTAAGAACACAGCCAAGTTTCTTCGACCTTAGCTCACCTATCGGACTATAGGTATTCAGGTATGTTGATGATAGATATCACAGTTACATATCTTCGAAACGCTTTGGAAATAAAATAGTTGCTTTATGATGAATGTTAATGATAGTTTTCAACTTAAAGGGCGTAATCCATTTGTTTTTATTCCTAAAAAAATGTTTTCTATGCGTAAAAACGTGTGTTCTCTTCAACTGAAGTAGAAATAAGTCTCAAAAAAAGTGATAATATAACTATTATGTATTTGAAACAGAGAAAAAGGTGGAAAACTGTATAGTGTGCTTTACTGTTTAATCTACTCTCTAAATAGAAATGCGACTTCAGCGATGTGTCTGCTGGGGAAAAGTCTCTTGTATGTGACTAGATTGCGACTTCAAAATAGTAGATGTCTTCAATGTGTCTACTGGTAGGCATATAGAAGTCACATTTGAGTCGCATAGAAGACGTGTGAACGAGAAAGACGCTTAGTGGTCACATCATTCCGCCTTCCATGCGTCTCTAAGTTCTTAATCAAAGTCTCACACGAAATGTCAATGTAAGAGGCTAATGAGACTAATACCTAATGTGCCTAGACACTAAAATGCGGCGTTTTGGGATTCGACTTATGTGTCTTCTTCTTCGCATTTTCTTTTAGAGTGTACTATGTCATAATTTCTAAATCAACGAAATACAAGTAGATGATACAAAATTTGATATATTCTCACTATTTTTCTTCCAAAAAATATAATAAATGCACTGAAGTTGACAATTACAATCAAAAATTTAGGGTAATTTTCTGATAGTAATTCCAATGGGCAGTTTCAAGTACACCTTTTTTCTATGACACATATTCGAATCTAGAGCGAAAAACTGTGCTGATTAAGTCAGTCCAAACTGAAAACTGTTATTGACATTCATCGAACAGTAACTATTTTATTTTCAAATTGATTCTGCAGCATGTAACTGTGACCTTCGTCGTCAATACACTCGATTACCTTAGTTCGATAAGTTTTAGGATTGACCGTGTTCATGAGAGATATGAAGGGCGAAATGTTTTCAAAATTCAAAATCGACAGTTGGGCATTTCCGCACAGCACCGCCCACTTTATACACAATTTTTATCCAGAAAAATTCTACTACGCCTATCTTGTAGAGCTCCTCCTCATGTCCGTTCACCCATAGTTCAGTGTTCTTTCCCATCACTGAGGGCTGCTGGATGATAGAATTTGGTCGAAGATTTTATGAAAAGTAGGTCTCACGGCTAAGCCTACGTGATTATAGAAAAAGTGCTGAAGACTTGCTTCTTGTATCATTTAAACAAGCTTGGAAGCCGCTTTTGTTTGATCATAGATAAAGTCTTACTTGATTAAATTTTGAGTTAATTATACGCTTTATAAAATGAGCGACTTTTCCCAAAGTAGATACGACTATCGCTCAAAACTTTTTTCGAAATATCAAAGAGATGATACTATACAATCTTTTACGCTCTACCCACTAGTACCATCAGAAAAATGTTAACATTAATGGTTCAAATAAATCAGGCTCCTGAAGACAAAAGCTAGACTTTTCTGACTGCTTTCTCAACATGTTCCACATAATATCTAAGAGAAAAAAAGGTGAATTTATACACAACTCGAGGACTTCTACACGACAGACGTAGTGGAATTTTCTCGGATAAAAGTTGTGTATGAAGTGGGCGGAGCTGTGCACAAGTACCTAGTTTTGTTCAGATTTTTTTAAGTGAAAATTAAGTAGAACGTTTTTAGCGCAATTAGCCTTTGACTATGTATCGTTCATGCACTTACTATTCGTTTTAACATGCGAATGATTATTCGACATTCTGTTAGTCTTATCGTTGAGATGTGTACGATTATCTGTTCGATTTTTATTATTATTATTTGTCAACGATATTAGAATATTTTCGTCAGATCTGTTCGATAATCTACGAACTGGTGGTACTGCATTCTCATTTAATTGTTCTAATGATTTTGTATTTCCATACGATATTGGTGACATAGTTTCTTCTTGTGTTATAATATCTAATAGAGCTCCATCACTGGCTCTCTTTAATTTTTTTGATAATTTCGTAGTAGAAGTAGCATTTTTGTCAATGATGTTTATTTCAGTATTTGAAAATGAATTTGAACGATTTTGCTGTTGTTGTTCTTTTGATGATGTTATTGGAGGTAAAAGTGGTTGTCGTAGTCGAACAGGCGGAACAGGAGATATTTCGTTCAAATGACGATCAACCGAACTCATTCGTCTGTCAGAATATAGATTATCTGAATGAATATTATCATCGTAACCTTGATCATCTTCATCGTCCGATTGTGCATGATGTTTTCGTGATTTTATTAACTGTCGTCCACTTTGAATAAATTCACTTTCTTCACTCAATGCACTCAATGGACGATTTGTCGGTCGAGTTTGACGAAGCATATCAGTGTTTGTACTATTATTATTTAACTGTGTACTAGTCTCTTGTAATAATTTGAGTTGTGATGAACTTGTAGAAAGAGATAAATCAATACCAGAATCTGTTGATTCATGACTCTTTTTTGTTATAGAATGAGTAACTGATAAGGGTGATGAACGTGATATATTATTATCGTATGAACTTTGTCGAGATGATGAATAATGATCATCGACTATTATTGTTGAATTTCGATTACGTAAACGAGCCAATGATGGTTGAGTTATTAATGTAATATGTCCGGGTAAATAAGTATTGGATGATGAAAGCATTGTTTTATCGTCTGATGTTTCTATAATATGAATGGGTGTTGTGGCAGTAATTCGAACACCATTCGTATTTGGTGTTCTTGTATCAAGTAAATTTTTACGACCTAAACAAAGAAGAAGAATTCATAAACGGATGTTGATCCAAGAAATTAAAATTCATTTACAAAAAAAGAAAAAACAAGGCTTTTTTTTTTTGCATGTCTGTCTGTATCGAGTGTATTTATATATGTAAATATCATAATAAAAAACTGTGTTAAAAATACATCTAATTTATAAGTCATCTAACTGCAAGATTAATGATTATATTTTTCTCTATCTCTCTCTCTCTCTCGCATAATATTAATGTCTATGAAAAGTCATTTTTTTTAATCTAATTAAAAAACATTTTATAGACTTAAAATTATAATATAAAAATTCTAACGAGTTTAATTCAACATATTTTATAAAGCAATGAGCGAAAAAGAAAAAAATTGTTTTTTTTTGTTTTGTTTTGTTTTTTATTCATATTTGCAAATAAAATTTGATGTATAAAAAAAAACTATATAAGTTATTAATATTTGTTCTTCTAAAGTATAGAGTTGTCATACACATCGATATATACATAGAAATTAATAGGGAACATTTTTACAGAATCATATAAAGTGTATTTATTATATAGTTCTTTCAACATTAGTAGTAGAGAGAAACGGAGAGAGAGAGAAATTGAAAGATATATATTTTATAATAAACAAAATATTAAAAAATATCGTTAAAATAATACATATATAATATGTATTATTATTGATGTAAACTAAAATATAAACATGAAAAAAAGCAAATTTTTTCATTTCACTTGATAAAAAAACAACAAAAAAAAAAAAACGAATACACACAGTTAGACACCTATAGTTTCTATGATTATATTTTATTTTTTATTTTTTATTTTTATTTCTCTTTCTATCAAGTTAAATTAAGAACTTTAAATAAGACATGCTTCAAGAGAACAATAATCTTTTCTGGTTTTTTTTTTTTTTACTTCTGAAACTGTCACTGTAACGATTAAAATAAAGTTCAAAAAGCCAAAAAAGACAACATAAATAAAGTGAAAAGTATATTGCGTAGTATACATGAGAAATATGAATATTTTTTATTTTATTCTTCTATTCAACTATTTTATATTGCATAGAAGTTGGATTACCGTATTGAAATTCGTTGTGTATGTTGAAAATTTTCTTCTTTTTTTTTTTTTCCTTTTTTTTCATTATTCTTTCTCTGTATGTACGTACGTTACACCGAATATTTCATTTACAGAAGAGAAGAAGATTCTACCTTTCAGTTATAATTAACCCGATAAAGGGTAGAACAATGTCGAGCAATTTTACTCACAAGCCCATAACATGACTAAAATTATCGTTTGTTAATTTCAGTCTATTTTCCATTCAAAGTAAAGATGACTAAAATCCTATTTATACTTTAATTCCTTATTATATTCATTGATAAAACTAGCCTTTATTTCCAAAAGGTACCTTGAAAAGTGGAAAAAGAAACGGTTTCTTTCATATTTTGATTATAACTTCGAAACATCTCATCCATTGTCATTCAAATGAGAGTTAATAAAGATGAAACACACTTTTTATCCACATAATTTATTAAAATGATAGAGAAAATGTTTTCTAGAATATCCTGTCTGAGGTGTGGCTTCCCTAGGACAATGAAAACGACTGTCGTATACGTCTGTTTACGATTGTACATTGTCTTTTATGAATTCAAGATGATTGATGGAGATCATAGGATATAAGACAATAGTCTTTGTTTAAAACAAACTGATTTTCTAATCAAGAAATCACTTGAGGAAGACAATGGACGAATTTTTTAGCCAGAAACAAAACAAAAAATTTCAATCGAGATGAAATGTGCGATTTTTTTCACGCTTCACAACAAATAATCGAACTTATTTTTATTAACGATGAGATAAAAAAGAAAACGTTGCAAGATATCGTTTTCGACGCACTTTCCTAGACATGATTTACAGCGTCTTGTTCGCTTTAAAACAACTCGAACTTATGATCATAAAATGCAGTATTTTACGAGCTACAAAATACATAAATTTTCCATTTTAGTTTGATCTATTTTTCTTCAAAAAAATCGAGTTTTTTCTACATGCACGAAAAGTGCCCTCATTCTATTCATTTTTAACGCTCTTTTTTTCGAATGACATGATGCGAGAAAAAAAGGATGAATGAAATATTTCGAAATTATAATTAAAACATGAAAGAGACCGCTTATTTCCACTTTTTCATAATGTCTTTTAAAAAATTTCGGTTTGACAATGAATGATAAGAAATAAAAGTATAAAAATATTTGCATCATCATCTTAACTAGTTTTGAATGGAGAATAGAATGAATGAAATCTAACATTTACATTTTAGTCATATATTTTTTTGTTAAACTGTTTCTTTCTGTGAAAATACACGTTCGACATGTGCACTAGTGACCGTATCGTGTTCTATGATTAAAAGATATTTCATTTTTGACTTTATTTAGCGTTTTTTACGGGTAATAGTAAAACATGAAGACACCCACAGACACTTACAGACAGCATACAGACATCCACAGACAACTACACAGACATCCATGGATGTCTGTGGGTGTCTTCATGTTTTACTATTCCCCGTTTTTTGCGATTATTGATACAATTCAGAGTTGAAATAGCAAAAAAAGAAGTATTAACTCGAACTTTGCTTCACTGTGAAGTTTGAGATAATCTATACTACTTTCATTTTTACATATATGCATAAACGTAGTCTGACGAAGACATCTTTGCCATTGAAACGAGTAATTTTATTAAAGAAAATAATTTAAAAAGACGATTTATTCTTGAAAATCTTTCACTACCTGTGAGTGTCAATATGAATATTTGTTGTGATCATGAATGGAACGCGTTTAGAGTAAATTCAGTTATTTTTGAGTAAAAACTTTGACTTCTCATTATAGATGATGAACAGTGTCGAAAGACTATCTTACCTGTTATTTTTTAGCACATAACCTTAGTTTTAAATTAAAATGTTGTATATATATAAAAACTTCTTCTATCCAAAAGATGTGTATTAAATATAAAAAAAAGAAGAAAATTTTCAGAAGATTTTTGATCTTCAAGTGCGTGATTTGTCATTGACAATCTTCTTTTTCTTTTCCTCTTCTTCATAATTTATTATCTTATTAAATTTTATATAGTTTACAGAACGTGTTATTTAGTACTGAAAATTATTATCAAACATGATGAATGATTTTTGTTTTCTTTATTAATTTTTTCTGTTACTTTTACACTTTTTTTTCTTCTCTCATGTTAGACATAGGTAGGTGAAGAAAAGTTATAATGCAGAAAAAAAAATATCTAAAATTATATCAGATTTCAAAAAGAAATTTTTTTGGCTATTTTTTGAACACAGAGGTGAAATAAATGTCAAAGAAATATCGTTCTCAGACAAATATGACACTCGATTTATACTCTTAATGTCACGAAGAACCTTCTTGAGATGTCTGTATATTCGAAGCAAATCAAACTTTCTGAAATAAAAGTTGTCGATTCAAAGTAGTTAATCATTCACAAAAGTATAGAAACAACACATGCCTCATAGTCTGTGATGAAATTATTATGACTATTTCATTTTTTGCTACTTTTTTATACCATATTTGAGTTTTCTATATGAAAAAATGCAGTTTTATCGAAAAACAATATGAGATCTTAATAATTAACTATGGCTATTGTAAGTATCTAATTGGTAAAGTAGTAGGAAACAAATGAAAATAGATGAGGTATAAAACTCTTGTAGGAATCATTATATTTCATTTGAAAGTTAATAAAAGTATAAAAATAAGAATGAAAACTTTCAGCTTGACACACGTATCATTATTTAGACATTATAACAATTGTAAGCAATTTATTTCTTGCTTGTTTCTCATATTAATGACTGATTATGCATGTTATTTAAAGAAGAGGTTTTCAAAACAATAATTTAACTATTTTGTTCATTAAATCACAAGATGAAAATGTCCTTGACCTTATTGTTTTATTTATTTTACCTTTAAGTTACCACTCAGTATTTGTCAAGCTTTTCTTCATTGAACTTTTGCTCACATTTTTGGTTTTTTTTCTTCTCCTAAAACTATAATGCTAGTACTTCGATGAAGAACTTTTGTTTTTCGTGGCTTTCCAGTTGTCTTTTGTATGTTTTATAAGACATATACGAAAATTAGATGCAAAAGTCACGATAATGACAGTTCTTGAATATTTTTTAATTAGTATTTCTCTCTTTTTCCTTCTTATAAATCTTTATTAGAAATCTTTATTCGTTTATGTCTAGAATAGGCATTTATCACTAATAGAAATTAAGAGTACGACTGTGCCTATTAATATAGTCAAATCGGCCACTTCAAAAAATATAGATCAGAGAGCATCAGAGACGGGAGAGGCGGTGTGAGAGTGAGTTGTAGACGAAAAAAGAATGCTTCTCTAGATATTAGTGTGACAAGTGCAATGATAATAATCGTCATTTCTGTTATTCACACAAATGTTTTTTTGATGGAATTGAACTATACCACCGACAAAAAATCAATGTGTCATTTCTACTTTTATTTGAATATCCTATTTGCAATTCTATACAAAGTTTTATATAGCGGCGGTACCAGGAATTGTAGCCAGGGTGGGCTCAGCCCGACTGTACTAGGAAAGGGAAAAGCGTAGTGTTTATTTTTCCCAACCAAGTTAATTTCTCTCCCTACCTACGCCGCTCTTAAACTTTCGTCATCTATACTGGAAGAAAATGTGACTGTTTTTCAAAATTCTAAAAATTTTTCAGGGTAGGGTGAGGTGGGCCTTACCATGTCCAAGTAAAAAGTTTTTATAAAACTAGATTTCAGGAACATTTAGCTAGCTCCAACTGGGTAAGAACTAGACTGAAGCTAACCAAATGTTTGAAAAATCTAGTTTTAAACTACATTTAAAAAAATACTTTTGCTTGGACAATATGTTTCCGGTATTCAAAATATCAATATCTACAGAGCGCAGAGCAAAACACTAGTCTAGTCTGTGATAAATAAGAAAGAAGAGAATATAGAACCAGAGATGTGCACGGGTACCATTTTCATACCCGTACCCGACCCGACAACTTTGTACCCATACCCGACTTATGCCTAAAATTTTTTCGTTTTTGTTTTCCCGCTAAAAATTTTCGCGAAAAATATTTATTTTTCGGTTGAAGATGTCAAATTACCATTACGTTCTCAAATAATTCTTTTTTAAACCTTCATGTAGTTTAGCTAAACTTCCATGTAGTTTTTACTAAAATTTTGTAAACTAGAACCTTCCGCTTTTCGGGTAAATTAAAAAAAATAGAACCCGAACCCATAACTACTCTACCCGTACCTGATCCGTACCCGACAACTTCGTACCCGTACTCAACCTTTTGGTCGGCTTGCACATCTCTATATAGAACTGCTACAAGTATCGTTTTGATTTCAATTTAAAAATCACAATTAAATCTGATAATTTCGAAGTTTCAATAAGTTATACTTATCATTTTATCAAACATTGGGAGAAGTAAAAAACACTGCATATATATATATCAAATTATAATAGACCTAGAAGGACAAAGAACGAAGAAGAAAAATAAAATCATTAGAACTAATCATTTGATAGTTGTGGCAGCACTTCTATACTCTTATTTCTTACATATTTAACAGGTGTTACACAAAAAATGACGAAGTTTTTATTTTCCGTTTTTCTCCTCTCCATTTCCACTCACAGAGCTTATCCTTTTATCAAAAGATTCTTCATTTATTTCTCTACAAAATAATTTAAATTTTTTTTCGAAATTTTGAAGTTTGAACTCCATTTGGAAATCGATAGGAAGAAGATCGCACGTCCTTTCTTCGGACGTTTAGATATCCTCTTCCAGGCGGCGTACGACTCATTTCGTCCCCATCGGTCTGATGTGGTAAAAATGACTAGTTAATAACTGGCAGCCATTATTGAACAAAATGCGCTAGTTTCAGCATGTCCATTATTCAGAAAAGTTGCATCAAGCGTTTCACACGTGAATCGGGTAGATCGAACTTCATACTGACGAAATACACTTTTTGGTAAATTAAATTTTCTAAGCTTCTAGGACATTTCGATGTTTGTTCAATTACGACAGCGTCTCAAACTTTAGGATCATCTTCTATATACCATTTTTTAGAGAAATGAATGGAGAATGTTTTGGTAATAAGAGGAACTCTGTGAGTGCAAAAGGAGAGGAAGAAAACGGAAAATAAAAACTACGTCATTCTTTCTGTAGCATTCGATACTAGTCCAGTTATGTAAATTTGTAACAACTTTATTCCTTGAATCAATCGAGAAGTTTTATACTAATCTACAAAATACATTCGTTGGGTATAAAGCAATACGAATTTTGAGAAAATATTTGTCATTGAATTTAAAATTATTTAAATTTAATTTTATGAAAAGAATCTCTATTAATTTACAATTAAAATTTTATCATTTGATATTATCCCCTATTTAACGGTATTCGGATATCATTTAAAATAATTGAAGAAAAAAGCTATGATTTATAGGTGTTATTGTTGTTTTTAATCTCTAATC